TCGTGAGCGCCGGGGGGTGGGGGGGGGCACCAGGGACCAGCATTTGGAGGGGCCACGGCACTCACTGGGGGAACACCACGATCTGGAGGCAGCAGATGAAACAGAAGACGAGGAGGGTGCAGGCCACGTAGCCACCGAAGCGGTCATCCACCTTCTTGGAGTACTGCAGGGAGGAGAGGGGTGAGCCGAGCTGGGCGGAGGGGGATGGAGGGGACCCCAGGGGATGCAGGGGGACAGAGGGGACCCCGGGGGATGAGATGGAGAGGATGGAGGGGCCAGGACGGAGAGGACCATGGAGCCAGCAGGATGGAGGGGACCCCACAGATTAGAGGGGACAGAGGTGACCCACGACTGGGATGGAGAGGGTGGAGGGTACCATGAAACCAGGACAGAGAGGACCCCAGGGGATGGAGGTGAGATGAGGGGGACAAAGGTGCTGATGGGGCCGGGACAGAGGGGACTTCAGGGGATGGAGGAGACCGCAGGGCTGGGACAGAGGGGGACAGGGGGACCCCCACCTTCTTCTCCAGCTCAGGCGTCTGGAAGGTGAGCAGGAACTTCTTGACATGGTCCTTGCGGAGCTGGTCGATGCTGCGGGCGTCGATGGCCCGGCTCAGGAACTCATCCACCTCATCCTCGGGGTTGAGGGCCTCCTGGGCGCCACGGCTGGGGGCAGGGGTGGGTCAGGCCCCCCCCGGGCCCCCGGCTCTGCCCCAGGAAGGGGCTGGCTGCAACCCCCCCCCGGGCACCCCAGCATGGGGACACTTACTTGTCCTTGCTGGAGTCATCGATGCCCTGGGGAGACACAAGGGAGATGGGGGCTGTCAGAGACACCGGCATGGATGGGGGGGATCCTCAGAGATGACAAGAACATGGGGCATCCCCCAGGGTCACCAAGACCACCAAGGATGGGGGACAGAGTCCCAAGGGACCCCCATGGGGGATGCCCATGGGTTCCCCAAGCCTGGCAAGGATAGGGGGGGGGGGGGTCTGCAAAGTAAGGATGGAGGGGTCTGAAGGGGGTCTGACACCAGTGAGGACGGGGGACCCCTGAGTGTCCCCAAGGTCAGTGAGGACAGGGCAGATCCCCAAGAACTGGTGAGGACAGGGGGTACACCTGAGGATCCCCATGGGCTGGCGATGATAGGGGAGATCCCCCAGGGCTGCCGAGGACAGGGGGAGACCCGGGGGTTCCCCGAGGCCATGGGCTGCGGCAGGCAGGAGGAAGCAGGCGAGGGCTGCGGGCAGGGCTGGGGAAGCCCAACGGCAGCCCGTGGAAAGGCGGTGGGGTGGGCCAAGGGGCAGCGGGGGAAAGGCGGTGGGCAGATAATACCTAATACCGTGCCCAATGCCCCCCCCGAGGCTGCTCACCATCTGCCGGAAGGCCTTGGAGTCCTTGGTGCGGGAGAAGGAGCGGTCAGGCACCCAGCGCGGCACCAGCCCCTCCGTCGAGTTGGCACGAGCCCGCTGCAGCTTGGCCAGAATGGCTTTCTCCTCTTTCTGCGGGGCGATGTGCC